TCGTCACCGTTTTTGCATTAAATTATTCCAAAGGATAAAGATAAATGTAGACGAAAAGCAGGAAGTATTAATTGTAGGTAGTTTCCTACGTCAGAGAAGATTTCAGAGATCTCTGTCGTCCTTCAATTAGAAAATATATGTATTGTATGTAAGATCATCGAAATTAATCAAGACTTCTTTAACAGAAAATTATGTCTTCTACTGATTGCAAATTATGTTACATTTATCTTTACACCTAGTTCTAGTGAAGCGTTATTTATCACCGTGATGCAGATCGTTTATTTATTTATCCATTTACGAAGTACTGTAAACATTTCACGTGCGTTGGCGCGATTCTGAGTATTCCCGATGATCAATTCGCGTGCGCGTTTTCTGCTGACACGTGTCGAATTAGTGTTGTCAATATTGCCATTTTACAGAGGACAAATATGAGCGATGCCCTTGTTCATTTTTTCATATTTCGTCAAACACATTGTTACTACGCGCGCCACGTATTTACGGTACGCGAGCATCTCCGGTGACTTGGACAATTTCAGATTTCACGGAGCATTTGATCGAGATAATAATCGTGTTTGCACAGGTATAACACGCGTGTGCGTGTATGTGTATTTTAACAATACGCGCGATGTATGCAAATTATTCAGTGTCACAGTCGACAGCGATGAATATTGTTAAACGGTCGACCGATTGCGGCCGCATTGGTTTACGAATTATTGGAACAGTTACAACAAGCGTTGCTTTCCATCTGTTGGTTGCTTGCTGCCGGGTAAGCTTGAAATGAATATTTATTCTGTTTGCAACAAACTCCCATGAATGAAATAGCATTCGTTTCTCCGAAGAATAATTCACGGTTGAAAAGCTGTTTCACAGTCTACTGGTATGTATTAATTGCACGCTTTGTTCCCATTAAAGAAGAAATACAGATCGACGCGAACGTAATTTTCGTTTCACAATAGAAACATTATAAACACAGGTTCGATCACCGTTGGGTGTAACAATCTTTCTTTGTCTGCGAGCAACGTAAATAATGTTTGCTCCGCTGACAGTAAAATATTGCAGTGAATACACGAGGATGCCCGATCGTAAACACTTGGAGGGCCATACTGGAAAAATACGTGAGGCACAAGCGCCCAATTTGGATCGGTAAACTTTCGGCTCGAAGGGCTGGGTGACAAATTAAACTCTATTTGCATCGAACAAACAACGCAAAATAAATGGACAATAAGGGAAACAAACCAAAGGTCGTCCTATAAAAAGGTAAAAATAAAAAAAAAAAAGTACGGTGGAAATTGTGAGTCGCAAGAAATGTATGACACTACGAAATGGTTGTTCTGAATTGGCTATTGTTTCTCCGATGTACCGTTTCCTTTTGATAATTATAGATATTGTGTCGATTCAGTTTATGGTATGATCATTTGAAAATGGCAACGGTTAATGTGCTATTAAATAGTACGAACCTCCGATCAATTGCCTTCAATCATTCAAAGTGCTCGTCCAATTTCATATCGTTTAATTACAAATCAACAATCGTCGTAATCCACGTCTATAGCAGTGGACATTAATATTTACCCTTGATGTTGATGGGTACGCGTGCGTGTACTCGAATTAAAGTATCACGATAAATGGTTAATTAATTTAAAAAATAATCTGTCACAGTCACAGTACCGAACGGTGTAATTAATTTCTGGCGTACTCGCGTGTATTGCGACGTAAATCCAATTTCGTTCCAATCAGAATGAAATCAGTATTACGATAGTAGATAATGTTTCTTCAAATGTACATGAAAAAATGGAAAATTTCAACGTTTCAGATGCATCAACTTCAAGCGTCGCTATGGAATTGAGGGTTAGAGCGCCCGCTCTAGTCACCTGAGACCAGGTATGACTATTCTGAGAGTCAGGGACATGTAATCGATATAGAAAATCCAAGAGGTAAATGAATAAGGAAACTTCAAGAGTCTACGTTCTTCCACTAGCATTCAACGAAATTTCCTTTTTTTAATGGATAGAAACACTGTTCCCAGAAAATGTTGTTGCCCTTTTCTACCGTCCTAGCAACCGAAACAATGTGGAAAAGTTTAAAAAAGTGAATCTCTTAGAACAAGTTTTACCTTGAATCCAACAGAAATCACTTCGCTTGATCGCACTATAAGTTCATAATAAATAATCATAGAACATTCTGATTTACACTATTATGAAGGGAAGAATTGCCACTTTCAAACACCCTTAGTCTCACGCCGATAAGATCCTTGGTTTCCGAGATATCGTTGTCGAAAGAGAACTATGATATCGAGCAGCGAGTTGTCTCTGTCCTATGCGCACACAATCAGACTTTTCGCTCTCACTAACCTACCCCTACGCACGGCCTCGCCGCCCTAGTGAATGGCCGGCGCTGAGTCGGCGGTTTTTTACTATCACTACTACTACTACGAGCGCGACATGCGTACGTCCGCATTTCGTGAAAGAATATAGGTCACGACTTCAAAGCGTCATACCTCGAGAACCAGATGAGATATCGACCTGGGACAAAAGCCATTTTTACGAGAATACATCTGTCTATCGTCTAACCTTACTTCCCCACAAAATGTAATACTATTGTCGAATGTATTTTACAGTTTTAAACTATTACCGTCTCAACATCCCTTCAGTTCACAAACAATCGGTACGTACTACCGAACGGTGCATAGTTACATGACTTCGTTAATTTTCGATTAATTGTGTATGGTTATCACGGTAATTAAGGATGTTCCTACAGATGAAATGTAACTGTTCGGATTAGAACTATTCGAATTCATGGTGTACTCGTGACCATTATCCGTGGTAACTAATATTAATTACCGTATTCGATTGAATAGACCCAACATCTAGGTCGATTCCGACATTCATGCTTTGTAGCATATGATACACAAGATGCAATTTTCTATGACGTCGCGAGCTGGTGAGTAGCTTTGGGACTGGAGGAGTTTCGCTTTAATAAACAGGTTTCCGGTATTCACTCGAGCTCGTTGTTTAAAATGACGATCTAAGAAGGGAATGCAGTCGTCTTTCCACGACTTATTTCGCGAGCACCAGAAGTAATACCGTGGAAACCTAGCCCTGTTGTCCTCCACCAGTTCGTGGTATTTAATTATATCATTCTCTTGATTACTCGCCGTCGAGTTGCCGTGATTTAACAGTTTATCAAGAATTTTTTCGTCCTGTCGTTTTCATCCCGACTATCTAAATCTTTTTCCTCATTGGATTCCTCTTTCTTACGGTGTAATGTTACTTTAACCTGAAAGGTGGGCTAAACGAACTAGCGAAACTTAGACAAGGATTCATCGTACACTCTTTTCGAGAAGTTTCAGAATGAAATTTCTAACTAGTTGTCCGTATAATGAAAACGAACGAAGTGAGTATAAAATATTCTGGCTACACGATGTGTTCCGGGCTATTCAATGAATCGTTTCGAATGTTACCTAACTTCACTGACGGTAACGCAATGAATGTGAATCAGAGTTTTGCGTAGTTCAACGTTACAACATTCTAGTGTGTTTAATAGGATGAAAGCTTTCAATACCCGATGAACACATAATAAATTAATTCCATCGTGTACAGTATTGATTAAGGTTAGCTTCGTGCTTCAATTAAATGTATTTTCACGTATAAAAAGATATACGTGGAGCGTTTTATTAAGCGGGGCTGAATTACCGGGGCTGAATTACCGGGGCTGTTTCTGCGAAAATTTGTAATCTTTCATCGTCCGGGATGTTTGAATTGCAGTTAATTTCGCCCGTGTTCAAAACTGTAGTGCAGTTTAAATTTGTACTCTGCTTAACTGGAAATCACGTCGCGGTTTAATTACTTTTATTATATTCGTGCGTGCAATCCGACGAGATCACAGATTTGGCTACGTTTATCTAATATTGATTCGTGGTGGAATAATAATTAACTCACGTTTGCCCGTAGAAAGGGAGAAATATCGGATACGTGGAAGCATTATCATATGCGGACGATTATAAATGGTGTACCAAAGAAGCTAACCGAAAGTATTCGCTTTAGTGAAACATCCAAACTTGTTTCCGATAAACTTTCCTCGCCGCGAAATGTACCACGGTTCTCCCTCTGTGTTCGCAGAGCCTCGAATTCTGTTGGTCTACGAATTGTATAATTCTCAAATTTCACCAGAATTCGAAAGAACTTCGCGGCTCATTGATATAATCTCTTTGTTACAGCATTTGTCCACCATCTTACAGCCTGTTCGCTCCATATTTTCGAAGAAAAGAAAATGGGAAGACGCAACTCATAAACGAATACTCACACGTTCTACTTCGTTCGTGGATTCTTTCATATTCTAAGAACGAAGCGAACGAGCATCCCGTACAATTTCAAGCATTTTTTCCGCCAAGAAGACGCGCCAGTTACCGTGTAATATTAAATTTCAAGCTTACGGGGATAGTCAAATTGAGTCCAACGTAACAGGCAACTGCCTCTATCAGCAAAGAGGGTTCATTGTACACCCTTGTATATACATATACAATATACAGCTACAAGCCGATGGTAGCGTACAGTTCTGCCGACGCAGTCGGATTATTAATGATCTTTCGCGGAGTTAATTTATCTCGGGCGTGAGCGCAGATGCGTTGCGAATCTAATTATCCCGGGAAAATCACCCGCTTTATAATACATCGTTAAATAGTTTGTAATCGAATGCACGGATATTAGTGATTTATTGGACTGTCGATAAGGTTCACCTGGTAACAGGACACGGAAAATGTTTGCAGTAAATTCAGCGATACGTGGATGAATTTCAGGAAGCGAAACGTTATCTTTCAATTTTGCTTTTGATATATACCGTCGATTTTTCACCGACGAACCGAGATTTGTACGAAAATCGAATGGAGACCCGATTTGACATACCAAAGTCTGAATCTCCGTAACAAATCTCACATCTTGTCGCAATTTAAACAATTATTACATCGAAATTTGTAAATCGAATATTGTACTTAAAAGACCACTAACCTGAGGGTAATCGCCTTTCAGCTGGTAGTCGAACACGTAGAAATACGTTTTCGGCATCGGTTCCTTTTCCTTCTCGGGAATCGGAGCGATGTGAGGATTGTTCGGTTTCTTTGTGTGCCTTAGAGTGAACAGATCGCCAGTTTGCACCAGCGGGGCCACGAATTGAGCGTCGCTCAGGGCTTGGACGCAGGCGTCTTTAGTGTTCACCGGGTGCTGGACGGTACGCTCCCAGTCCGTGTATTCGTTCACCACCTGACAATTAACAATAAAAAATTAACGATACCCAATACCAAAGAAATATACGCGAATTCGAAATATTTATGTACGCGAGAAAATTCTCTAAACGATTCAACGTCTCGAATCTGCAGAACTGTACGTGTAGAATTTCGCTAATTGGACAGGAATTCGAACGGGAATCCAGCCACAACAGGATAGAATTCATTGCAGTTCGAGAGCGTGATACAGAACAAAATTCAAACATATCCCCGCGGGGAGAATTGTGACACGCGCTCGTACTTTTTGTTAACGATAAATGAAAACGAGCGGGGTTTCAACGGCCGCGAGAAAGTTCGACGACAACGATAGTTTCGCCGGGCGTATCCCTCTAGTTTTATTATTCGAGGCAGTTTTTTCCTCCTCGCCTAAAGCGACAGCCCAGTAACCACAAGCGTTCGGTGCTTTATGCCTCGAGGTATACACGCGAAAATTGCGACTTTCATGTGGTGTGTCGGGAAAGCATGCTTCACCGCAAAAGATTATAATAAACTCGTCAAACGAAATAGTAATCCCTTTTCCCTTCTACGGGAATTCGTTTCCATCCGTGTATGTACAGCCGTATGTATTGTCGGTAACAGAGTAGCCGGCGGTGATTTGTTATGAAACATCGATGTAAAGCCGGTGAAAGGGCCTTTTGGCATGTAATAGATGTTACACGAGCAGAAATTGCAAAAAAAATCCTGCACGGAATCAAAGAAGATTGACGGGATTGTGTAAAAAAAAAAATTCTGCTTCATGGAAACCTGTTAGCTCCATTCGATGGAATCGTAAAGTTTCAGGTATTGGTGTACCGATAGCCACTCGTTGGAATGCACGATTTTCACTCGCGAACCGGACGAAACCTCGGAATTTTTTCGTTATATTCGCGTGAACGTTGACCCATGGTGATTGGGAATGGTACAATTAAACCACTGGTGGTCGAATACCGGTTTACGATTATGGATAATTAGACAGGAATCCGGGGACGATATATTTTTATAGGAGGGACACCGGGACCCGATGATACGGCGGATCGTTCACCAAATTATTCCCTAAGAGCATTATGAAAATCGACCGCGTGAAAATGGAAATAATCTATGCCAATCGGTGGCTTATCGGAATTTTCGCGAAGATGAACGACACTGCGGCGTGATTACGGATAAAACATTCGTGCCTTTATGTTCGTATTCTTGTTTTTTATATTGTGTTTTCAAACGACATCAGATTCCCGAAATTCGAGACCGAGACATGTTTATGATCAGTCTTATCGGTTCTAATGGAATACGGTTGCGTAATTAAATTGCCATATGGGACGTGAACGGGCAGATAATGGGGGATAAATTGAACGTAAACCGGAAGTCGTCCATGGGGATGTTCAGCGGACGCAATAATCCCTGGCCTGTGGCAGTATTTTATTATTCTTTAAACTGGATATAATTAAAATTCAATGGTATCGCTTGAATAATCAGATAAACTCGTGCCGCGGCGATATTCAAGCTGAAGCTGTGTCTGCTTATCGGTTGAATTGAAAGAATTCCGAGTAAACAAACAAAAAGTACTAAAATATTCGTAATCACTGGCAAAATGCGTACAACAGTTTCGAAGCTAATTGTTTTTCTTTCACGATTGATAGGTTTTTCATGACAGAGAGATTCACTTACCGTGTAAAATATTTCCGTTAGGTGATAGACGTAGGCGTTTCTCACGTACGTCCTGATGATCCTGTCCCTCCTCTCGCCCTCGAATCCCTGCTGGACATCTTTCTCCGCAAACTTCCATAGAGCCTCGCTGGTCGTTACACCGAATAACAGATCGTACTTGTTGTTGCTCGTGATCGGCGCACCGTGCTCCGCTTTCTTCGAAAGTGGACTGGAATCGAGTAAGTTTTCACAGCTGAGTATATATCCTGCGCGCACAAATGCTCGAAACGCGATTTTTAAAATCCTCCACGCACCTCACACACCGAATTAATCTTGCTCGAATTTGTATTGTATTATTCAACGACTGTGTATTATTAGATCTATGAAAGTAATGAACTGTATTTGGCAGAGAACGACGCTTATGTCTTAGCACGAAGTGAATAAGTCAACCGTCTGGTGCGAACTGAGTTTCATTGAAATTCATGAAACTTCATTCATTGGTTAGAGGGGGAAGTGACGATGTCGACCTTGTACGTGTTATTCCCTTCGGGAAACGTTTGAAAAAATTTCTCTCCAGGTAGTGTAATAATAAAGCAATACAAGGGGGCCTAGAGTGTCCGCTGCGAGTACCCGAAACGACCTACAACGTCAACATCTGGTGTTTATCCGTACCATTGATTAGAGATTCCCCTTGACGCATCGCGAGGGTCGAATAGTGTAACCCAAGATGTTTGTTTTAATGTTTCGAAATTTTTCTCTTTCATTCGGTGTCCTTTTCTATATTCAGCGTTGATTCTACATTTCGAATTGATTCCTCTACTTCACAAGCGCCTAGATTCAGTATTAATTTTGTAGACAATAATCCAACTTTTACTGTACTATTCTCTCACTTGTGTCCACGTGTGTATGTGATTATAAATTTCAGACGTAAGTAAGTAGAAATGAGACGTTATTTTCTTTTCTATAACTAACGTTAACGTCCTTAAAAAAAAAATGTCAGAGAAGTCTGTCCCGCCTCGCAACACCGTTGTCGCCGCGGTTCGACTCGAATATGCTAATGACGCGGTGGGACAAGGCCAGGTCATTTACAATCCCGTTAATGAACCGTGCTAATGTCCGCGGCGAATCGAGCTGGCTCCTGAATCTACTTTACATTTAACGAGGGTGACCTCGATAAAGTCTCCAGACGGGGAACGAAGATACCACGAGAAAGTTGTTGAAGATGAGGACATTATCGATACTTCTTGGGGGAGAGAGACCTTCAACCGCTTAATCGTCCTCGGTTTTATAATCGTTTCGTATACACCGTTCCCTTACCCGAATCCTTGGAATTCCGGGCCCATGTAGGACAACAGGTCCTTCTGGAAGTCGGGCTTGATCACAACACCGTCGACACTCGGCCCGAACGCGCTTAGAAAAGTCGGCGGTTGTATGTCGACTTGCATCAGTTCCTCCAGGGGACGATCTCGCAGACAATCGACAATGAGCTCGTTGTCTTTTAGCAGATCCTCCGGGATCGAGCAATTAACAGCCTTGGCGAGCTTCAGCGCGTAGGAAACTGGATCCTCGACCACGGCCCAGGACGAGAGCGCGCTACCCGATAGTAAAATTGCTCTTTTGAACAGACCTGCGCAATAAAAATAATCAAATTTGTCAATATATTCTACGTTAAATAATCTTGTTCATTGGATCATAAAATTAGACATTAGTTATCGTTTGCGTAGGAGAATAAAAAACAAAAGTCCCAGTCGTGTCGGTTTCGAAAATGATTATCCGACACACCGAGGTTTCCTTACTTTCTATACGTTCCATCTTTCAGCTAACTCGAGCGCAGAAAGAATCGACGTACTGAAATAGTAAACTTCGAGCGCGTTGAGTTACGTTTCGCCTTTATTAATCTTTTATTTTCTCGGCATAAAGACGTACACCACGGAAGAATCGAACACGGTTCTTCGCGTGATTTATAACGGAACATTCTGTAATCTGCCGAAGCGAACGTCGTCCCGAGGAACTCCGTTGGAACTTCGGAGAAACGACGGGAACTTTCCCGTGCTTCCTGCCCGGGCTGCCGACAGATATCTTCCAAAGTACATGAAAGAAGATTCCAGAAGATTCCTTAATTAATCAGTTTCTGTATCGAACGAACCCAAAGTTCCCGTGAGGTGTACACGCCTACAGTGACAACCGGAGAGCCTGCCTCGAAACACGACCGTGTTTTCGTACCACCACGTTCCAGCGAGCTCGATGAAAATCTTGACGAGCACACGGGGGAAACTTTTTGATTTAATTTCGATCCCCGGAGTATAAATGGTATAGTATTCAATTTCATAACGCGTTCTGATCTTTACCCGTTAATATTATTCAATAATCCCGCAGAAACCTATTATATTAAATGATGAATTACATTGAAATCATATTTTAACGGAGTGCAATATTTAAAATATGGACAGGTAGTTCCGTAACATATTAGCCGTGTCCACAGATTATATTAATTCGTTCGACCGCGAATTAATTAACGTCACGAAATAATCGCAGTGGCATCCCTGATTAACGGCAGGGAAACTTCTATACCGAAAGGGGGATCGGGCTAATATTCGATGGTTAGATCTAGTTTCGTGGCGATCCGCGTTACATCGAGCACAATTAACTTCGACACCGGCGGAAAGAACGTTCGGAAGACCGCGAGTTTTAATGGAATTCGGAGCGAGGTTATACTTCGAACGGAGCAACGTGAGCAGTGGGAAACGAGAACGAAGATCGATGTTAAGCAGGAAACGTGCACGTGGCCGCGGCAAAGAAGAAGGAAATTATATCCGAAGGAACGTAGCCGGGGGTAACAAGCGCCGCGGCGGATGTGCTTTTCAACGATCGTCACGTACCGTGGATATAATCGTCCGACGATTTTCTTCTATTTCGGCTCGAATCGTGAGAAACTCTCGAACAGAATCCCCCCTACAGTCAAGATACGCGCAGATTCGATGGATAGCGGGTCACAATAGGGATCATTATTATTTCGAAACTTTCGTCGTGGCCGTTTTTATAAGCGTCGCGCCAGGGCCATCAGGCACACGATTATGGAAATATCTCCGCGACGATCTTTCAGGAAAAGAGTAATTCAATTCTGGGTTTCGTGCAAGAGGCCGCCGCCCCTCTACCCGCTCCGGAACAGCGGAATTTGTGATGCACGACCGGTAGAATCGTGCTACGCGATCATTTTTCATGTCGCGACGATGTCATCGTCGTCGTCCGGGGAATAAATGTTCGTAACGGGTAGGCATGCATATTACCTCCACCAAATATTTCATAATTTCCAGAACGTCAAAGAAGAGGGGGAGGAGGAAGAAACTCGAACGATCGAAGCACGTTGAAAGAAGAGAATGCCCCCCCCCCTGCCCCGTTACCTCGCGAACCAACGACTTCGATCGATAACTTTCAAAGCGATAACTTCAATTAATACCTCCCCTTCCATACTCCACCTCTCCAGTTCCCGTCTCGAAGCCCTGTAATTTATCAAGACAGATTCGTAGCAGCAGTTTCCCAGCGGAAGCTTCATCGCGGTAACGTCGAACGGAAATATCCACCGGAAAGGGGTAGCGGCTGAGCGAGAAATTCCGAGCGAATGGCGTCGGTCTACGGTAGCTGTCAGCCGTTTCAAAACAAGAAACGGAGGGGTTGGGGGATGGATGGAAGAAGGAACGGAAAAAGCGTCAGCTTTGAGGAAGACCACGAAGAACTCATAAAGACCAAAAGCATTTTCCAATGGCGCGTACAAGGTGGAACGATATTTCACGCACATAATATCGCGGCGACTCGCCGTCTCTTCGTTCATCGTTCAGTCTTTTATGCTGTTCGTTCGGTAGCCGGCGGTTCCGAGGGTAATTCGATCGGGAACGCTGTTAGCCGATCGGTTAACCGCGAACAAAGCTACCAAGAAGCGGCTGCTCCCTCGTCTACGATGAAGATATAAAGGAAGACAGCCAATATCGCCACGGCAATGTGTTACCCGAAGAAGAACCGGACCGTTTGCCACGTGTTTCACCTCTTTCGCGAACGAATGTGACTTACGGGACGAGGGGTGAGTCTGTAGAACGATTCGGTCGGCTGGAAAACCCGCTGGGGGAATATTACGAAACGATATTTTTCACGTCCGCTTTCGGCTCGCGGTGATTGTTCCGCCGCGTCTTTTGGGAATTACTCGAGACGGAGGTTTCGGTTACCAAAACGGACAGGGGAGTTGTAGCGATACGCCATGAATTCGTCGGGGATCAAGGGAGAATTAGGTGTTGGATTTTTTCCCTTGAATGAAAAATGAGATTTCTTCTGGGGTGGACGGAGGGGAATCGAGCTTCGGACAATTTACAGAGGATATTGTTCATTGAGCTAGTCTCGAGATTCAGATAATCCTGTTTACTTTTTTCCCTCTGCTCCGCGCGTTGTTCTGTCGTTGATTTATCGTTTCCCTTGGAAAAAGACTTTCGGAATTCTCAGGGAGTTGCTCGACGGAATGATCGAAACTTATCGAGGACTTTCTTTAGGAGTCTACGTGGCGTATTAAAGTGGTTTTGAGTTAACGATAAAGACTTCAGACGCAAACAGGCTTGTTTTGCATTGGATTTAAGTACTTGAGAGTATAGTCATTCGATACATTTTCAATTATCAAGCAGAATTATTGATACTCGCTAGGGAACTGTTTCTAAGAGTTTACTGTGTATGGAAGTAGTACGAGTCAATCATAATAAGATCCTACGTCGATAACCGTTTTTTTTTTTTATCAATGATCTAACTTTATGATTAATAGAATTAGTCGTTAGATATTGTCAGATACAGGGAAAATTGTAACGAAAAAATGTCACTCACCTAAACGACGACGCGTTGGAACTTTAAAGACGCGCAAATGATAACTGAACACACATAAGCTCGTTTCCTCTCGGATTCTTCTCGAGAGTCTCATTAGCGGTCCCCGTTCTCGATCGAAGGTACCGGTAGGAATCGCAGAAGAGGATTGGATTCGTCCATTGTGAGGGGGGGGGGGAGAGTGGTTCGACGTCTTGTTACTTATCGGATAACGATTTTTCAGTCTGAGCAATTTTTAGCGATCCACCGGGCAGAAGTCACCGACGGTTCCTGACGAGTTCTCGACGAGACTTTTATCGTCGAATACGTTCGGACAGGACGGGGGACGATGGAAAAAGATACGCGGCCCGCGACTCTCGAGAGTCGGGTTCAACGAGGTCAACGGCATCAAATGAAAAGTTGGATTTTTACAGTGTTACATGCGAAGTTTACGAAGTTCTATCCGGCTCGTTTCAGTGAATTGTCGAGATTGCTCGAAGGAAGTCACATTCAATTGGATGAACTTCCAGCACGGTAACCGGAGTAGAAAACACGATGTAAACGTGAAATTAAATTTTCGTTCGCACGTTATATCTTTGTCGTCGTTTCTGTAAGTTCTTTGAGTTACGAAGGATTTCTCGTTTCAGAACGTACGAGCGTGAGCTCGTGCCACGGAGATGGGCGGTAAGTATGTCGAGTCGAGAATTCTCGAGGAAATTTAACGATAAAAATCAGAGAGTTAATAGAAGTTTCCTGTTTAGTTGCCCGTGCAGGTAAATTCAGTTTCAAGCGCCACCTGTTCGCAGCAGCATGTATGTACGTGTACGTGTTTGTTACTCACCCCGTATGACAGTCGGGCTGATGGCGAGAAAATGAACGCAAGCGGCACCGGTCCCCTGGCCCATCAGCGTCACGTTGTTGGGATCCCCGCCAAAGAGGGCGATGTGCTCTTTGACCCAGTGCAACGCCGCGATCTGATCCATGAGCCCGTAATTCGCGACCCTCGCCTTGGTCTGAGGCGCCACGTTGGCGTTCAGGAAGCCGAGCACGCCCAGCCGGTAGTTCATCGTGACGATCACTTGGTCGGTGTAGCTGGCCAGGACGCTGCCGTCGTAAGGGTTTCCGCTGCCCCAGTCGTAGCTCTCCCCGTGAATGTACAGAAGCACCGGATGTCTTCTTCCGGTGTCCGCCATCCCTGTGGATCGAGAAAAGTGTCCTTTCAGCGTGTCTCCGTCGGTGGCGAAATGTTTACACACACCGAGAGTAATTCTTATTGTCCTTTGCGCGGACGGTAATGCCCGACCGTTCTAGCACATCGAAACGTGTCTGGCCGTACACATAAACGCACCAGTCGTACCACTTCGATGGAAGCATACAACGTGTGCTGTTGTCCTAGGTATCGAATAACGAAGAGAAGACACGTTTGCCGAGATAAACTCTCGGCTATAGAATTTTCTTCCTTTCAAAGAGGGGCCCTTTTCACCCCCTCCCGTGTCGTGTTTGTAGGGAAGGGGAAGGGGGCTAGGGCGACGACGGCTTTGTTCACTGGGAGTCTGTCAGCGATTTACGGTCGCGGGGAAGAACGTAACACGCGGGGAGAATTAACCTTGCGACAGGGAACCGTGGGCATGACGGAATATTCTGGGCGGATATGACGGCCCGCTAATGCTTCTTCTGCTATTGTTACCGCGTGGCTCTTGCGCGTTTCTCTGTGACAGGCTCGCGCCGCGCGCTTGGTAATGCGACGGCGACATGTGTCGATTCGTATGTGAGAATGTGTGAAATCCCCGCTCCGCTGGAGGAATATAATGAGGAAACGTGTCGAGGACGGAGAGGATTTTGATTAGTGGCACGGTTGTTTTATTTCTGGGAAAATGGGAGCCCGGTGATTTGGGCGTGGCTTGTGATGTGTAGGTGTTACACGAATGCAAAACTTTATACAATTAATGTTTCTTGCAAGGTTTCAGATCCTGTATGCAGTTTTAGAACGTTGTAAGTAGTGTAGGTCGACGGTAATCGAGTTTAGTGTCAAGTATTCCCATTATGACAGTTGCATGGCCATTTATTGATTTGACCATTTGAGAATGATTGGTGATAATTGTTTGGCGATATAAAACAAGTGAAAATTAAGAAAGAATTAAATGGGGTTACAGAAATAGTGCCTAGAATAAGACACCTAGTGACAGATCCTGCTCTTCGTATCGTCTATTTCGTCGAAAGAAAATGAGTTTAAAGGATACTATGCTGGAATTCGAGTAGCTCGCCTACTTGTTATTATCGCGGGACACCGACCCCCGCAGCTCTATTCGCTCGACAATAGTAACATCTCCGAGTAGCTGAAAGAGCCCTTACCGAAACAAAGACCGATGTTGACCGTGCGTCTGGTTCTATAGAAAAGTTGCAGCCGACTGAAGAGAGACCTCATCCCCTTAGATTGTGGGGGGGTTAGCTGCTAAAGGGGATTTGAGCTGGTCTTCGTCTCGCGCTTTAGAAAATATGGAACCTGGTATAACCGAAAGCAGCTTTCACGGCCCTCTGACGGCGCGACATTAATTTATGGGATGTTAAAAAAATGCGTTACCCTCCATAATTCAAATAGTTTGGCTCACGATCACGCCGACACTGATACAAGAAAGTGATTCGGAGCATCTACCAGCGATTATTTTTAACACTCGTTCTGATGTAACTTGTTTTCTTCTCTCATCGCAGGTTCTTTTTTGCGCTGTGAAGTATATATCGGAACCGAGACGAAATTTTTATCTTCAATATTAATTAAATCGAAATTTTTTCCACAGAACAGTGCGTCACAATTGGTACGTGCGTGCCCGCACAGGTCGAATGAATTGTTGTCGGCCGAAATGGAAACCCGGTATCACGTTTTCCATTTAACTCTCATATTTCTAATTTTGCGCCCCTTGTTCGGGTGAATGGGAGACGGGGAGAACAGCCGGAAGTTGTAAATTGGAGAGGAACGTATTTTTATTTTTCAGCCGTGTTGCGACCGGTTATTAAATCTAGCAGAACCTTCGTAGTAATACATTCCATTTTTGACATGCTTTTGACACGGGCATAGAAACCGAAAAAATATTAAACGAATATCATATCAGGCATAAATATAGAATCGCTGATGAAAGGAGAGGATAACATTTCGATTATTATTCTTGAACATAAATTTAAAAGAGGTCCTACATATGTACCACCTAGAAATTACGTAAATGTGTTTGTAAAATTTAGTAGGACCAGTAAGGAATAAATCGATGAGAAAAATGCCTCGCTCTTCCAGCCTTAATTTTTTCCCGTTCAACGTATCCGCAGTGTATTTCGATCTGTCCCAAGTAGATCGCATTCCCATTTCCTTCTCATTTTCCTCCGTATTCCTATTAGCCTCGTTCTTAGCATTATTCCGATATATATCATCGGGTCAATGAACGAAACCCCGAAGCTTAAAAGCTTTTATGAAAGCCCGATTGAGAAGGGCCGTTATAGAGAGAATTAGAAGGGTGGGAATGAGAAATAAAATCTCTGCTGATCACATTTAGCCTATTCGAGAGAGTATCGTTTTGCGGTCGGACCATATCTCATTCCCCTTCGAGTAGGGTAAAGGGAATAAAATTACAAGGCGTGGTAGGATCCTCGATACATCGTGCATAAAACAATCCTTAGTCATCGATCGAGCTCGGAATGTCCGACTTAAATCTCTCTCGTCAATGCATCCCCTATGTCGCGTCCGTCCAACCCGCGGCGACGCAACGTTCCCTTTGATTTGAAACATATAACGAGTCGTGACTCGGATCGGTATTGCCAAGTAGTCCGCTTGTTTAACGCAGTCACCATCGTTCTAACGAACCACGTCGCAACCCCCCGGGGAAGAGAGCTTGAAAAGGGACGCTTGGTTTAGCCCCGACTGCTCCCTTATGCGGGCCGAAAGCTCCGTAGCGCGCGCGCGCTTTTGTCATCAAAAGGGTGGTTCACAGGTGCATTGTACTGTGACCGCGCGGGGAAGCGCAATAATGCGGTGGCTCGCACCCCATACCCCACTTCACTCCCTCTTCTCCCCCTGCACTCTGTCGGAGTGAAATTAAATTGCTGGATGCGTTTAAGTAGCGCCCCCTGGCTGACACTCCCCTCGCGGGAAACTTAGTTACACGTCGAACGCTTCGAAGGCTATTACGATTTATGAGAATGACGGCGAGGGTGAATCTTTAGTGGTCCATTATCAAAGGATGACACAGTATTGATTGTTCCCCAGCCGTTTTCGGGGTGGTCAGTGTTGTCTACTTGATTCGTGGGGATTCATAGAAATCGGTCGTAGAACTAACGGTCTGTCACATTTGTCTGAACATGTACTGCCTCTTCTACTGTACAATTCAGTATAGCCTATTGTGTAGGCTTTACACAGAGAGTGTTTGCATCAAGGTGTAGTCAACAATGTCTGTCACCCACATATTCGATGTTTTAAAGGCCTTAAATATTTATACAAATTCTTAGCAATGCCCGTATTTCGAACTCTTCGCATTACGCTTGTACGTGTTCGGCAACATCTGCTCTGGACCAAATTCATCTACGTCAGATTTTCCTTCCATCGGTTTTCTCATCGCCTTTGATCAACTCTTTAACTCATTTCCCCGGAATTCCTTCCGTTTCGGCTGCCACGGACTTCTACAGCGTATTTCGCCCTCTTTTTGAAATTATCCGAGGATCTTAATCAAGTAAGTACTTCGTTGCGAAACTGCTTCGATAAAACTGCCGTAGCATCCGGCCGGGCTGGCTCTTTACCGTGGCCGATGCGTCTCTGGCGCAAACACGGATTACTTTATTAACGACGCTTGTGTTTTATAGTATATTTAATTCCAACGTTAAATACGGAATGTCGATGTTTACGTCTAATAAAGTCCTAACGAAGAACAATTACTGTCAGAAGAAGTCATTCAATGTTTCTCGGATGACAGTGATCGTTGGTAGATGAAAATTCAGACCGTGACAATGAGATATTAGAGTCTTTGTCCCTTCGAACCATATTGTTTACGGTTTGTATACCTTCTGCAGCTTCCCTGTTACAGAATCGAAGGATAACATCTATCCAAGATTCAGGTCGTCACCAGCGGTTACACCAAGAAGAACCGACGAAAGTGTGCCATTTGTGAAAGATGGAAGGGGCGAGTTAACGGGCAAGCAGGCTTTCGTAACTGGCTTTTGTCATCCACCGGCAAAAGACAAATAACCGCGGCCTGCCTTTTATCTTGCCACCTACGGAATCGCAAAAAGCCATTCGGACTTTCTGTTCTATTCTGGACGCCGGACTTCCTCCGGATTTCATTCTTTTCCCCGCCACTCCTCTCGCTCCCTCTCGGGGTGCCCCCCCCCCCTTCACGATTGCACCCTAGCCTCTCGCGGCACGGCACAAAGTACAAAGTAGGACAAGTTAAAAGTGGTTTTCACCGGGCTTCGAAAAACGAACGAGGCCCCGTTCGAGCCCGACAAATAGATTCACCGGTCCACAAAAGCAGCTCCTCGAGTGGCGTGTTCTCGGCCGTACGGACGAGGGGGTAGGTATTGCATCTTGTACGCTGAATCTGTCGAGCGTTCCACGTCGTCATTGGTCACGGATCGTTCGGTGTTTCCAGGTTTCGCAAGCTTTCAGCGCCTTTGTGGAGTGGTCGTTGGATTGTTCTGTTTCCTTTTTTTTTTTTTTCTTCCGTCAGTCGACAGTTGCATTCGCGATTCATGGTACAAGCGTTTCAATACTTTCTCCAACGATTTCTGGTATTGGTTTCACGTAGTATAGTTTAAATATCAATTCCTGATTTAAAGAAAATGAATGTTGCCCGTTGGGCTTGCTCGTTTCGTTTGTTAACGTTCGCGAATCGCAGTCGGAAAAATCGATCACGGGACCGGTATATTGATTCCGTTGCACGCACTCGCCCCCCTAGGGCGCATAATGCACCGGGATTCATCGTTGACCTGCCGCCACTAAATTCTAAACCGCGATGAGTGGGGCTGTCCCGCAGGGTTGCGCGTTTAACGGCGTAGCACCACCGGTAAAGCGGAGGGGGCGCCCTTTATTTATGGATACGCCTATGGCCAGAAGTAACGTCGAGGCGGCTGAGTAATGCGACGCCGCGGCCGCCCCCGGTTTATCCAATTTTCAGTTCGAAACTGGCCCGAATCCGACCCCCATCCTCTCGTTTCTCACGCGGCGATGCGA